GGCAATGTGGAGTTATGGTCTTGTCGCTTTAACTTTGTCATCGAAGAAAGGAACGGGGGCCAGGTTCGAGCCTTCGATCTTGTGGTTTGCGAGTCAGCCTTTGCAGGAGGGTGGCCGTGAACAGGCCGCCGAGATCTTGAAGGAACTCGGCTTCACATGTTCCACAGCCGTGTCTTTGCTATGCCTTCACGACATGGCAAATAGTTCGGACTGTGAAGGGCGGAAGTCAGTCTTCACTGCAACAGCTGGGCAAAAAAATTGTAAATGCCAGTTTTGAGAGGTTTGGACTTGTTTGAGCTCAAGCCTGGGACCGAGGAGAAGAGACGTGCCAGCCATCAAGAAATGCTTGAGAGAGAGGCAGCGAAAGCAGCCATCAAACCTGCGCGAGGTTTCCTGGCAGTTGCGGCACAACATGCTGACATAAGATGTTGTGGGTGACTTTGCCTGGATCCTTTTGGCGGACCGTTGTAAACTGAGAAGGTCGAACAAGTCCGTGTAACTGTGAAACCCGAACCTTTACCATCTGTTAATTCGAACGGTTGTAACTCGGTAGCTGAAAGGTTGGATGGTCGTTCATGGAGCCGACTTCGAGTCTAAACCGCAACAAGATCTGAGTTTGGAATCGTGCCCAGCTCTGTCTGCTGTTGCAAAGGTAACTGTGTCGAAGGAGCTGGCGAGATTTCGGCACTTGTTCGTCAAGTGCGTGGCGCAGGCGGCTGGCATCAAATGCTTGGCGAAAAGTGTGTATGTGTGTGTGTGTGTGTCTGTGTGTGCTTGCGGCAGGCTTGAAACTTGCAATTGTACCCCAGGCACTCGACGTCCCATCTGGAATCCTCACGGCTCAGCCCACAGCTGCTCCCAACCACGACGTCACGTGAGACGACACTTGTTATGCCACAGGTGGTCGACGTAACCCCGGGAAGCGTGGTGGTTGAGTTCCTGGTTCATCCTTCTGCCAGAGCCGGTGATACCCGAAACGTAGCTTGGCCATAAAAGTGAGATTATCGTGTCCTTTTGGTGCAAGTTTGCATGCGGTCTGGCGGTTATTATTGCAATTCCTACCGGCTTCCGGATGCGGACAGGCAACCCAGCTGTTGATTGCCTTGGCAGCAACGGGGCAGCCAATGGAGTAAATAGAGACTACGGAGCTTCGTTGTTGTGACTCCTTGTTTTTTTCGACCGCCTTCTTTTTCTGTTCTTGGTCTGCCCAGACTTTGCTGGTTTTCCCGCCTTGGCTGCACAGTCCAACAGGTGTCACGCGAGGGGCATGCAAGGAAGATCTGCTGCGCAGCAGTCGGCAATCGTAGCGGAGGGTTGCATCAGTGTGCGGGCAGCAATGCCTATCTGGATGATTCTACTGTAAGCTTGGGGCAAAGCACAGCCACATCAAGTGGAGAGTAGGGCGACCTCAAGCCCAAAGTACAGATGATTTCGCCATCTACCCAGTGTGGCTCAGCCTTCACTGCCGGTCTGGCCTGTGCTTGTGGCATCTGATGTGGAAAGCAAAGGAGCAGCTCATCAACAGCAACAGCACGCTCCGGCGTGGGCACTTTGGGGCCTATGCTGCCAGCGCCGCTCGCCTCGGCAGCGATCACTCGTAGCGGGTTGGGAAGGTCGGGTATGCCAATCCAGCCGCTCGCTAGGCTGAGTTGCTTGTCGGCGAAACCCGGAGGAAAGCTGCGCCTCGGCTGCAAATGTCTGACGCGAGCAGCCGGCAGTTGCGTGTGGCACCAGCCTGCCCGAGAATCAAGGTGCATGCGCTTTCCATCGCGGATGGGGTCATTTGCTGCGAGCTGAGTCTTCAAGCAGCTCAGGCGTATTGAGATTCCGAAGGTCGTCTCATGGCTGTGTTTCAAGGTTGCGATCAGTCAGTGCAATGCTGCAGCCCACAAGCAGTCCTTGACGAGGTGCCCTAGCCCTGCATTGGGTTGTTTTGCACCTATGACATTGACCGGGCAGCCCCGCCCCGCCCCGCCCCGCCCCGCCCAGCCCAGCCCAGCCCAGCCCAGCCCAGCCCAGCCCAGCCCAGCCCAGACCTGTAGTTTAGTCATCGTCGCTGTTCGTCGTTAGTCTCCAAACTCGAACGTGCCGCAAATCAGCAGACATTCTTGCACAGGTGCTGGCACGCTTACGCATCGAGCAGAGACGTGCAGCAGCTTGGCGACAACTGAATAGGGCCACTTGGCGACAGGTCCACACTCGAGTAGACTGAGGAAAGCGCGGAAGAGAAATACAAGCAGGCAGTCATCGAACTTCGACGACGTGACGAATCTGACGCCAAGCTACATCGAGAGTGTACAATGCGTGCATGGCGTGTTTTGACACCCAAATGCTTCATCCTGGTCGGTTTCCACTTTCTTAAAAGCAGTTTGGTCTCCTGGTTGCGCTCGTCAGAGAGCTTGCAACTTGTCCCGAGGTCAAGTCTCTCACGAAGCTGCTCGATCTAGCCAAGCAGCAGGAGGAGGCCTTGTGCGCCGCATCGCGTGGCACATCGGGGCACAAAACCTTTTCAGCTGTGACGTAGAAGTTCTGCGCGCATGCTGTCCTGGAATTGGACTTTTCAGAATTAGGCTGACATGCTGGCAAGGGCGTGTGCTCACCGAGAAGGGCGGCAGTTAGCCGAAGTTAGCCTTGCATCGGCGCGGCAGTTGCATGGATACCTGCAGCTATGGGACACATTCGGCGTGCTACGGGGGATGTTCATGGGTTGTATAACACGACACCTTGTGTCCCCCACGGAGCATCGCTCCGGCAAAGGCATGTGCTCCGGAATCCGAGGGATTGTAGCATGTGTGCAGGAGAAGAAGGAGGAACAACGAGATTTGGAAATGCAAGAGCTGCTGTGATTCAATAAGATATGCGCTCCACTTGTTTCCAGCTCACGAGCTGCAGCGTGTCCCTTGGCCTGAGCCGAGGTTTGGCAAGCAGCTTCTTCACCTTGAGGTGCGCTGTTAGAGCAAGGGAACCACACACACCCTCGGCGTATGGCGAGGAGCTGGCGAAGCTCCGGGCCCTGGACGTGAAGGAGGATTTGCGTGACCAGGAGGTCATCGAGTTGCGAGCTAAGTTGACAGGAGCAGGATATAGCCCGAAGGAGAAGAAGGCAGCGGAGAGTGGAGCTTCAGAAGGTTTCTAGGAAAATCTCAACACCCAGAACAACAAAAGCAAGAACAAGGTTCAGAGAAAAGAAGGAAAGAGAAACTCAGAGAAACTGCAGCTCCGCCTTCAAGGCTGTGAATTGCGCACCGATGACCCGAGAGCTTTAAACACCGTGCGACTGTGCGTGTTAAACGGGAGAGGGGTGGCAGGCAATGCTGCCATATCAAGATCCCAGAGACGAACAGGGGGTTGCTTTGTATGTAAACAGTGGCATGCCCGAACTGTATTGTGCACTTGCTGCGCGGGTTGTTATGGCCTGGGAACGGGACGGGAGCTTCTGTAGTGACGGTGCCTGGCAGCAGCGGTCGCCGAAGTGACTGCGAAGTGGAGTGATCAGTCTTAGGGGTCTGTGGGTGCGCAGGTGCAGGGGAGGACGGATCATCTACGCGAGAAGACAAAAACGTGGTCAGGTCTCGTATGGTGCCGTCATTCGAGCGGGCGGTACAGATGTACTTGGGTGTTTCGACCTCTCAGGTCCTTCAAGGCGATTGTTGTCTAGCATTTGCCAAAAAACGACGCGAAAAAGCTTTCACCCACAAGGGTAGGCTTTAGGATGCTTTAGGCGCCTGGCAGGCGCCTTGTTTTCCTCAGCGTCCTGGGCAGCAAAAACCAGCATTCGATTTTTGCAGCACCGAGGCAAGCTTGCTTGCCCCAATTGCTCCCACGCCCAACCGGCCCAACCACCACACCACGAACCACGTCCACAAGCCCGGGATTCCGGAACAACAAACGAGGATTGCATCGTGGCACTGTAGCGCAGTCATCTCACTCCTAACACCAGCTGTGCCTGGCAACTTTTTTTCACATATGCATCCGGTTCAGGTTCAAGCAGGAGCTCAGCACCCTGGAGGAACAGCAGCGGCCGTCACAGTGATGGTTTCTTGAGCACTAGTAGATCGGGAGCCCGTTTCACCCATCCCCAGTCGAACCCCGGTAACATGCTGATGTACATGAGCTTTTCATCGGTTCTCATACGTTCAACGGCAACGCCACCCCATGCCCCAGTTTCACACGACTTGCTGCGGACACAGCGTGGCAATTTCGCGGTGCACGAAATCACTGGAAGCTTAGTTCGCACTTTATGATTACACGCAGCGACGGCAGCGGTGTCTGAGGCATCATGCCAGGAGCCGAAGCTTCCGAAGACTTGGAAGTCAGTCTGTGTTGGCCCCGGTTTCAGCTCACTGAATGTGCCCAGCAGAGCTTCAGCAGCCTCGGCAATCCGTGGCATGGTGCCAGTCTGCAAGTTGTCCAACCTTGGCTCAGGGTCTGTGCATGAGCATCCAAGACTGTTGGGTTTGGTCGAAGACTTGTGCCTGGCACTGGGCACCTCAAAGACAGTTACCAGAGGATTGAAGAAGGGACTGACACTGAGAGGCCATCCGTAGAGTCTTCCGACTTGCCGCTGGCGGGGCCTAGCCTGGCAATGGGACCGTAGCAAGTGGCCAGACGTCAGGCAAGGCACGGGTAAGCCGAGGGCTTTGCAATGCTTCACTTGGCTTGAGATCAGGAGGCGCTCTTTCATGGGGCGCCGCAGTGACAGTCGTACTTACAGAGTGTCCTGGTCTGTATCTGGCCTGTGAAGTGCATTGATTCCGAGAGCGGACCGGCCCGAGACGGTATGCCTTGCCATTCGCGAACAAGGGTCGACTATTAGTAGTTTGTGACGTATCACTTCTACAACAGAGAAGACGTTGGCAGTCCCACAGAGCTGCATCTACTCTTCCCTGGAAGAATTGCAGTGTATATCAGTGTATGACCGCCTGCTGCCGACTGACCTTCCTGTCCACCGCAACTTTTGCGCATGCCACGAGCTTGGTCCGAGGAGCATCGCAATCGGGATGACCGGCGTGGAGATCGAAAGCGACTGGATAGAAGGGAGTCCAGGTCTCTCGATCGTGACTCCAGACGGCCTGGTGTCGACCGGAGTGATTCACGAGCTCGAGACAGAGGCCTTCGAGAGAGACCAGAAAGGTCTAACGGAAATGCCAGCCGGCAGAGCGACGTCGCTCTGCCAAGGAAAAGCACAGGAGCGCCTTGCCATGCCTTGCTGGCTCAGATAAGCCACTCGAACATAGCATTGCCCTGAGGACAGCACGAGGATGCTGGTGCAGGCGCCGGTGTGCAATCGGGCGAGTCAGCATTTCGTCAGCAAGCAGAGCCCTGCAAGAGCTCTGAGTGGACTGCAGGGTCAGCTGTGCAAAATCTGCCTCACTGAGGCCATCAAGCCCATCTGGACTTGCAAATGTGGGGCATCTATGTTTGGACATATTACACAGTGCACCCGCTGCGGCAAGATGAAGCCGGAGGCGGACCTGCGCTTTGTTCAAGTGTGGAACATTTCTCCAGACGTTCTCAAGAAGCCGCTTCAGTGGTGCTTCAGCTCGGATTTCAACCAGTGGCTAAATCTAAGACCATAGAGCGCGGCGACATTCCTAGTCCTAGTCCAGGCAGCACGTCTGTTCTTTGGCCTCGCACTGCTGGCCAAATTAAGGTTCGTTAAGAAAGCTGGTGGAAGCTCTGCAGACATGGCACCTGTTGGAGCGCAGCTGGTCATGGTTAAATCCCCGACAGCGAATGCAGATGCTCGGTTGTCAACGGTCGCGGACACACCAAAGCTTGTGTTCTTTTCATTACAGGCCCGTCAGCGCACTTGTGGAGCTGGCCGGAGCTGTCGTTTACCAATTCATTCTTGGTAGCCCTTGGTATCAAGCAGCCAGGTGAAAACCGCTCAACAGCAACAAATTCTAAAGAGCGGGGGGTGTGTGACCACCTAAGACCAGGTCTATTTGCTGGCCGAAACTTCGTACTCGATAACTGTAGAGGTAAAAAGAAAGATACATAGCCCCCCGCAAGGCTGTTCTGACATTGGCTGAACATGGTCCACTGCAGCGCATGGCTTGAAGCTGACATGAATCAAGCGAGCTGGGCACCAATCCTCTCAAGAAGATGCAGTGGAAGGAGGAATTGATCAAGCCTAAAATTGCCGGTCTACAAAGATTGCTTTATGACGACGTCATGAAAAGACGAGCAGCGACATTGGAGAGTGGTTGTACAATTTAAAGAACATACCAACCCTCGCGTGAAAACGGCTGCGGTGCCTACAGCCGCATTAGAGGAGAGAGCAACAGCTTCGAGCCGTGGGAGGCGCTTGCCGTCGAGTTCAGGGCCGGAGGGAGGATTGGCGGGCGACTACTGGCCCCTGTGTCTGCTGTGTTTGACGACAGCTATGGACCCTTCAAGCGGACGAAGTGCCTTTCTCTCTTGGTAAGGGAAAGAGATCCTGACTTTCCCTTTTACCTTTTCAAAAGATGCTAGAGAGCATAAGCTCAAGAAAAAAGGTGGAGCCCCCCCCAACCTTCAAACACGGAAGTCTGGTCCTCCCCCAGCCTCAAGAAAGAAAAAATAAATCCTCTGCTTCATGCGTCAAGACGAGAAGAGAAGTCCTTGCAACTTATTTGTGGCAAGACGACAGAGCTCTTGTCTACAAGAACTCCTTGACCTCTTGGTAAGTCTCCATCTCCTCTGAAGAGAATTAAAGGGAGGTCGCTCCGAGTAAAGGAAGACAAAGCTCCTCCAGTCTCAACAAGACAAGCCAGAAAGAACAGGGCCCCCTCGACCTCTTCATCGGCAAGAAATGAGCTTCTGTTCCCGAAATGGGCAAAGGAACAGATCCTCCTGGCAGGTCCTCTATTGCGGCATCTCAAAGAAGCAGGGCGCCCCTTCCAACTTCGCAAGAAAGAAGAGAGCCCCGTCTGCCTTTCACAGCCTTTTTCGTCGACAAGAAGAAAGAGAAGAGCTCCTTGTCGTCCCCGTTTGATCTTCACAAGATAGAAGAGACATAACTCGCAAGAAGCGAGGACAGAGCTCCCTAAATCTTCAAAAAAGCGTCTGGTCCTCCCCCCACACTTCAACAAGAAATGAGCAGCCCTCTACCTCGTCCTCTGAAACAAGAAAAGAGCCCCCTCCAAAGCCTGCAACAAGAAGAAGAGAGCTTCCTCCAAATTCATGAGAAAGAAGAGAATTCCATCTCAAAACAGCACAGGCCCCGCCAGAGCTCCGTTTACCCTTCAGCCGGCACACAGACGCACAGACGCACAGACGCACAGACACACAGAGACACACACACACACACAGAGACACAGACACACACACACACAGACACACCCAGAGACACACGCACACACACACACACAGACAGACAGACACACAGACACTCTGTCGCACAGACACACAGACGCACAGACACACAGACAAACAGACACAGAGACACACAGAGACACACAGAGACAGACAGAGACACACAGAGACAGACAGTGACAGACAGAGACACACAGAGACAGACAGAGACAGACA